GGAGCTCACAGCATCACTGGGGCTCACAGCATCACTGGGGCTCACAGAGCATCACGGGAGCTCACAGCATCACTGGGGCTCTCAGAGCATCACTGGGGCTCACATAGCATCACTGGGGCTCACAGCATCACTGGGGCTCACATAGCATCATTGGGGCTCACAGCATCACTGGGGCTCTCAGAGCATCACTGGGGCTCACAGCATCACTGGGGCTCACATAGCATCACTGGTGCTCACAGCATCACTGGGGCTCTCAGAGCATCACTGGGGCTGCTCTCAGAGCATCACTGGGGCTCACAGCATCACTGGGGCTCTCAGAGCATCACTGGGGCTCACAGCATCACTGGGGCCCACGGAGCATCACTGGGGCTCACAGAGCATCACTGGGGCTCACATAGCATCACGGGAGCTCACAGCATCACTGGGGCTCACAGAGCATCACTGGGGCTCACAGCATCACTGGGGCCCACGGAGCATCACTGGGGCTCAGCGCTGCCCACACTGTGCTTCAGCCCCCCTGGATTTCAACTGCACACCGCTCACGCTTTGCGAGGTGGCCCTCTTTAGAGAATACTTGTGCCACTCCTTGGAAATGACTCCAAAAGTTGATAAAATGTCTTTACAAATAGTTCAGAAGAACAGAGGGAGAGAGAAAGATCTGGAGACAGCATTTTCTTTCTGTCTTAGGGAATTCAAAGGACGTCTTTTTTAAAGGACTTTGCTATAAAGCAACGGTTCACACTTTTTACTCAGTATGTTCTAGGGACAGGATCCTGACCTTTTCACACCATGCTCTGTTGGGAGGAACAATCAAATCAGAGAGTAAATTAGGCAAGTGACAGACACTGAGGGGAGGGTCCTACCGTTCCTTGTTGGTAAAAGTGCGGAGCCAGCTCCAACAGCCAAACCGACTCAATAGCTGTCACATCCCTCATGTAATACTTGGACGTCTGGATAACTTCATTGTATATGACCCTGAAACAATCAAAGAAAGAAAGAACCCATGAGCTCATTTCGTATCTTACAATGCTAATCAGGAACCACAACAATTAGAGGAGATTGTGTTTTCTTTTCTCCCTTCACCTTTAACAGGTAACCTTTACACCGTTTGTGTTGCTCACTGAAGCCTCATGACCCTGAGTTGTAGGTAATAATGGGTCCATTTGACAGGGAAGAGTCTTTAAGTCCTGCATGATTTTCAGGACATCTCGGTTACCATCACAGAACCCTCCTGGATCCTATGTCTGCATTTACAAAACTCTGAACACAGCTAAGGACTTCAGCAAATATAGAAACAGAAGTCAAAATAGGGAGGAGGAGCTTACCTAATTCTGAAGAGAGCCAAGAATCAACCATAAACAGACCAAGCCTTCTTACAGCAATAAAAATGTTCCCTATTTTAGCCAATGTGAGTTAGTGGAGTGAATGTATTTGTCAAAACGCATCTTTAATGGAATATAAATAATACACCATTAAAGAATAGAGAGCTAGCCAGAGACTAAAGTCACAGACAAACAAAGAGCCAAAGGAAAAAAAAAAATCCCAACTCCCCAGAGCGCAGGAGCACAGAAGAGGAGCTCTGGGGACAGCGGCGTCAGAGACGTCTGGAGAGTGGATTCAGTGGTGTCCTGCTCACAATCACCAACACGCCGGCCTGACCGCAGCCTGACCGGAGGAGTGCGTTCTCCGCCACAGGAATTGGGCTGCTTTACAACTGGCTCTATTCCCATCATCTTTTCTCCTTGCTCTTCAGGACCTCTCGAGAATGAAGCCGGGGAGAAAGAATAAAATCTTCTTTCTTTAAGGTGATGTCTAAATGTAATCAGCTAAAAGTCAGAAAGTCCTTTTTTTAAAAAAAAGGACCCAGAATGGAGGTTTGACTTCACGCTTCAGCTTATACTGCCATGAACGACCACTGAGTAACATTTCCAAAGCTCAGAACGGACCCCGTCACTCATCTCAGAAGCTTCCCCTGGGTCTGCCCTTCCTCCTGGTCTAGGAGCATTTCTTCAACTTCACCACCAGCAGGATGACCCGGAGGACCCTTAAAACAGACTGCTAGGTCTCCTCCAAGTTTCCTTTCCAAGGAGGAAGGTCCACCCCGTCGTTTGGGATATAACTTTCTAATCATTTTTTCTTTATACCTTGAATTTAAAAAAATAAAAGACAGCTGGCCCACATTCATCATTTGATTCAGGATTAGACTGAGACTCCGCATTTTAACAAGCTCCCAGGTGATGTCGGCCTGGGGACCACACATCGAAAACCACTGACCTAGGGTATACACTAGGGGGTGCTGGTGGCCTAGTGGCAAGAAGTTGCACTGCAATCAACAACAATAAAAGTATAGACTTCCCCATGATAAACCTTTCTTGCCCTTTCATTTTATCTATCATTATTTCTCAGTCCACTCTCCCTAAATGCCCTACTACTCTATTTCGCTCTGGCGCAGGGCCCATTATCTGTAATGAAGAAAGAATGATTCTTTTTCAAAATTCTAATATCCTGCATATCTGTATTTTGGCAAAAGATAATAACAGATGAATTATTTGAAAAATATGAATATCCACAAAATACAAGCCCAAATATTTTTGTTATTAAATTGGGCAGTCATAAAACTTATCCTGTCAAGCTGTCACACAAATTCCCAAGCACCTCCTGCCAACTTGTGTTATACCCCAAGCCTTTGAATCTTGCTGGTCCAGGCATTCCAATGTTTCTCCACTTCCCAATGATGTAAGGTTTCTGGAGCAGCTTTGCCCTACTTCCTCATGTCTGGGACACCCTTCACATCCTTTACTGCCTGGAAAACTGTTTCCAGGTGCACACTAAACATATTCTCCTCCAGGAAGTGTGTCCTGACTCTGTATGGCCCACGAGGTGCCAATCCCAGAACTTCTAGCGAAAGCCTTCCTTTGAGGCTTAGAAAGCGCTCTCCACAGCCAGACAGCGAGCTGCCAAATGCATCTTTTGGAGTAGTGCTGGCAACAGAGCCTAGCATCTAGTCGGCTTGGTAAACACGTTTGCTGAGTGGGTGAGTACACAGGTCACTGTCACTGCTTCACTATCTTCTGAGAGAAGAGAAATTCTAGCCACGTCCACAAGGATAGAACTGAGCACTTGTCCTCCAGGCCCCAGCCAGGCGCTGGGGGTTCAGCTACAAACAAAGGAAGGCCTTGCCTCTCAAGATGCCTTACCAGCGAGGCGGCTTCTCTGCATAGAGGACTGACGCAGGGTGGATGTGCAGTTCATGGTCGTCACGGATGGTCCTAGAAAGAGAAAGCACCATATCCTAAAGACACTTTAAATACCTAAAGACTTTATCACGGATGTATTTTTAAAAACAGTAATAACAGTAAAATATTTTCATATGTCTTTTGTTTTACGGTACTTATCTTGAGAAAATATTTACAAGTATTTTGTCTTATCCTAAGATGCTGGGAAAATTTACGTATCAACGTCGGCTCCCTTTTGACAATCTGCAAGCAAACTGACCAATGACATCAGTTACAGTTTTCACATCTAACCCCCTAACTGTGGTCAACAACCTCATTCATTGTTCTCCAGCTGGTCCATTTCCAGATTCCCTGCCCTCTCGTCTTCTCATCTTTCCACCGGAATAAATGTGGATCTTCCCAAGTAGATCACTGGTTTCATGGGTATTAGCCTGTGTTTTTGTGTGTTATTTTGCTTTTATGTTAAAGGTGATCTCAGGGAGTAGTTTTGGCTCAAGGTCTCAGAATAGTATCTCAAGTTATCCTCTGGTTTCAGTGGTCCAGTTAACCTGGACATTTTATAAACTTCCATCCTAAAATTCCTATTATTTTTTTTTCTCCCATTCTAACCAGGGCCCTATTGTGGGCCCAGGCAAGTTGGTGGCGGCAGCCAGCACCATCTAGTTCTTCTGACCTCAGGGCAGTGGAGGCTGTGGCTATCAGCCCGGTGGATGGGATTCTTCTCTGTGATTCTGATTACTTCCTTTTACTCCTGACATATAAAGACCAATGGGGTATCGTAGATAGCCTCTCTAAAAGCCTTTTTATTTCCTTCTTTTTAGTTCCCTTTTTTAAATTGTGATTTTAATGAAAGTTTATAGAAAAGTTGGATTTTCATCCCTTCATTGTTGCACATGCTCCTTCCCAGCCCAGAGGATACTCATTTCATTCCGATGAAAACCAGAAACAGTGATTATATTTTATTATGCCAAATGACTAAGCTGTCCCAGGAGCCCAAGGTCCTAACCCTTCAAACCCAGAAAACTAACAGCACAAGGTATATGGTTATACCTCAAATGTACTAATTGCATCTCCTATGAACACATTTGCCTGCACACATATACTGTACTTCACATACATATAGCTACTCTATCTATGCACACTCACATACACACTTGTACTTACTTATACTTATCTTTAGACCTATATGCATGTATGTGACTACACACTCATTTTTTGGTCATTACTGATGTTATCACTACACTATGTCAATTTCTTCAAGGCAAGCATCCCTTTTTCTTGAGTGCTTCTTAATGACACCATTTACTTTGGTCAAGCAGTGCTCATCGAGTCCTTTTTGGTGCCACTTTTCCCATCACCAAAACGAGCACGTCTTCACAACCTAGGACATGTTCCTATTTCCTCCCCCACCACTCCTGTCTTCCCTCAAGGACCACTGAGGAGTGTCATTCTTAACTTCTTTCAAAAGAAGGCTCAGACAGTATTTGCCTTTACAGGCTTGACTTACTTCACTTAGCATTATGCCTTTGATGTTCACTGTTATGTTTCATGGATTCATCACAGTTCTTTTTTTTTTTTTTTTTGAGAAAAATCTATCTTTAGAATTAACCAGCTGAACTCAGTTTAGACGACCCAAAAGATCATGGTCAGGAGCAAGTCAACGTACTTTTAATATTACACATAAATATATACAGACCGTACTTCACACTAATAAAACTAAACTTGCCACTTTCTCTTGTGCTTTCTCCACACCTTAAAAGTCAAGAATAATGGTTCGAATCCACCAGATGCTCTGCTGGAGAAGGAAAAATCTCCTCCTGTACCAGTCAGATCTGATTTGATGGTACACACAAAAAAATAAATAAATTTTTTTTTTAAAAGTCAAGAATAAAGCATATTAAAAAGAAAAAAAAACATGTGGTCATTAAGAAGTTACATTAAAATGTAATGATCTGTATCATTTATCTTCTGGAAATTTTCCCTCAAAGCAATTTCCTTGACGACAGAAACAATGTATGGGGTTACTTCTCTAAAATTTTTATTAGACAAAGTTCACAAGGAGACAGATCATATAAAGAATAATAAGGATAGATAATAAGAAGAAAGCAAGCTCAGTATTTACCTATTGACTTCTCTGAGAGACTATTTTTCATTCTAGCTCAGATTGTATTTGATTTAATGAAAACATATTAATTCCTAATGAAACATACACAGGTACAACCAGATCACAAGAGAGCGTTATCACACTGGGCAGTTCTGAGGGCGTCAGGGGCTCTGCACCTGGAGCAGTGCTTCGCTATGGCAACATACCAAGCCCACGGCCGCTCTCTAACAAACGCCGATGCTCTGCGGTCCTGGCTGCCCTACCAGATGGTGACAAGCTAGTTAATAATGATCTGGGTCACAAAGGAATTGCTTGAGCCTGGAATCTACTGAACCAGCTCCCATTCGATTCCCACCCGTGGTGATCCCATGTACGTCAGAGGAGAAATGTGCTCTGGGTCCGCACAGTCTGCACTGGCTGATTTTTCAGTAGATTGCCAGGCCTTTCTTCAATATGCCTCTGGGTGGACTTGAATTTCCAGATGTTTGGTTAGCAGCCAAATGCAGTCACTAGGTGCATTACAAAGGAACTCCTACACAATCCATATTTTTGTTGAAGACAACGAAAATGCTAACAGGAACTGTTAATTAGCTGCACTGCAGACCTGAAGGCACACACATAGAATCCACAGAAGGATGGGAAATTTACTGCTTCTGAAAATCCGCTGGAGGGTCAGCTATGGGTCGGTTCACACTTGATGGTACCCAACAACAACAGCAATTCTTAAGCTGAGGGAGGGGGAGACAGTAAAAATGACAAGTTAACAAAACTTTCTGGAGAAGATCTCAGGCTTCACCAGAGGGTCTCACCTTCAAATAGAAAGAACTGCCTCAACTATAGACCACTCAATTCTGGGAAGAGGAGCTCAGACGATGAGCAACAGAATCGGGGTCTTGATAAGCCAGAGCATCTGCCCTGGAATAAGGAGCAGAATGTTGTTGTTGTTGTTGTTGTTAGGTGCCTTTGAGTCGCCTATGACCCATAGCGACTCTATGTACAGCAGCTCTGAAGCCTACCCTGTCCTGAGCCCGTCTCACTGATTCCGACACACCAACCCCCATTGCCCAGTTATTGTATAGAAATGTGAAGCACTATTCTCGGACTCGAATGCTCAATTACTAGGATACCAGAGGGAAGAGACCTAGCTGCCAAAAAGCCAAAACAAAACAAAAACCCGAGCAAACCTGGACTCCACCGCAGAAGCTCAGTGTCCAGGACAAGGGATGCTGTGGTTGATCCAAAGCTAACAGGACTGTAATATTTCTGAAGGAGAAAAAATTCATGGCTAATCAGTACATGGAGGAACTCCAAGAAGAGCTGAGGGGAAAGTCTTTTTGATTGCCGCCCTCTAAGAAGAATAGGCAATCAAGACTGCCACATTTTAGACAGGCTACAGCGAAGTTATGGGACTCGGATGAGGAAAGGAACAGAAGAGAGAAACTAAAAGTAACAATTCAAACAACTGGAGTGATGAACTTTGGAGGGAAAGAGGCTACGCTATACTTTAGTTTTTACTGTGGTCAAAGAGATTAACACCTATGAGGAAGTCATCAATTGCTAGTAGGTTCTTATGTCTAAAAAATGGAACTGTAAAAAAAATGACTATAGGTTACATATATAGGAAACATTGTGATCATACATAATGAAACAAGACAATCTTGCACATGAACCCGTGGCCATAATTTTGAGATAGATGACAGGTCAGTCTTTCAGATCTCAAAAATGATAGTGAACTCCTAGCTCACTACGGAATTTCTCTAGCAAAGAGCTCTGTAATGGTTCCTTCAGGTCGTATTACACTACTATTAGACGGCAGCCTAGTGTAAGAAGCTGTGCTGTAATCCCAAAGGCACACGGTTTGAATCCACCGGCTGCTCCGCGGGAGAAGGATGGGCACTCTCCTCTCATGTGACTAAAGCCTCTAAAAACCTGCTGGAGGGTCAGCCATGGGTCGGTTCTGACTCGATGGTACACAACAACAAGAGACTTGCAACTGTCATCTTATAAACTGTGGATGGGCTGAATATTTGAGAAGTATTTGCAAAATGTTATTTGGTTAAAGCTATGTGACTAATCTCAACTCATTGCAGAAAGAAAACAAAACAAACCAACCAATCCCTCCCTGCTGTGGAGTTGATTTTAACTCCTGGTGACCCTCCAATGGCTTTCCAAGGCCTATGAATACCAATGGAAGGGGAATGCTCATCTTTTTCTTCCGTGGAGCAAAATTACAAGTTATTATTTAATGTCTCTATTATCTCTGCACATGAGCTTTCTGTGAATTTTAGCTCAGTTCAAAGATTTCACTCTGAACGAATGACTTCATGAAGAACGGCATTACCTGTAAGCGCCAGAAGAATGAAGCCTCGCAGCATTTGCAAAGAATCCCGCAACGATGCACCTCAGAACCGGATCCGGATCACCTGCACAGGCAACAGAGAGGTGGGTGAGACCAGGCCTGCCCACGTTCTGTGAGAGCACTTTTCACTAGAATGGGCACAGACAGGGATTTCCTCTAGTCTGCTGGCCAGGTGACTGGCTTCCAAATTTCTTAGCACAGACAAGTGGGTGTTTCCATCACTGCATCCAGAGGATAATAACATCAAGAACAACTTCAGATGCATAGGAAGCAACTGAAGAAGATCTTGGCTGGATCAGGCACACGTTAGTCTTTAAATTGCTATCTTCGCTCTTGAGCACTCTGGAGAGGTCTTTGACAGGAGTTTTTCCTTTCCTCTTGTTGTTTTGTAGCACTGACTCACAGCTGATCCTCCAGTGAGCTTTCAAAGGCAGAAAATCACACGAGAAGAGCTATGGAGCAGGTGTCTCCAATACTTGATCTAATGAAACACCGTTAGTCAAGAAGATCCCAAAAGGTGGTATAATTTATAAATCCATCCACAATGCAGAAGGCGGCCAAGTTTCACTGCACTCTTTTCAGCGATATTTGGCAAAGCAAGTACTTCCTTTTATTTGATGTGTATTTAGTTACTAAACATTGTCCTTCTTTTGCAAATATTCTGTTCTAATTCTTTGCTCAATTATCAACTTGGAAACTACCATTTTTTTCCTAAACAGGTTAAATTAAATCTCTCTATAATTTTTATCTCTTCTCTCCTAAAAATACTTCTCCTATTTGCTTTCCTTCTTTAACATCTAGAAATTTCAAATTGGCCCGTAACACATCTTCTCTCCCCCATTTTCCCTGTTGTTCCCAAACACAGGCTGATAGTTCTGAAACTGGGGTAATTTCTTTTTTAAACCTCTATTTTTAACTGCAATTTCAGATTCAAAGTGCACCACTTCTCTCAGTTGCCCATAATAAGAAAGTTCCATGTAGAATATACACTTTTAATAAGGGTGATGCTACTTCCAAAAGAGTGAAAATTGGTTCCTGCGTGAGGCAGGGTGTGGGGGGGGCGTATGCCCTGCGAAGTCTTACTTTAGAGTTTAATTTCTAGGTAGGAAGAAAGTAAACCTGACGTCATTCTCCTGGTTGGACCAGGAGGGACAGATAATAAAAACAGGTGAGGAAACATACTGGCTGTGTCATCTGCCACAGGTGACAAGAACTCAGCTGGCTTCTTCCCACATAAGCTTTCTGTCTCCAATGACACCAGCATTACCCCATCACCCAGCTTGGAAAACCTGGAATTAGTTTCAACTCTTCCTTCTCTTCTGAGCTTATCCATTCATTAAATATTCTCTGAGCATTCCATACACTCTTCACTCCCAACATTTATCTCCACAGTTCTCCTTGCTGAGAAGGCTCCTGGGCACAGCTTTTTAATCCAGTGAGTCCCCCAAGGCCCCACTTGACTTCTATCTTCCCGTGAGGTGTTCTGCAACACTGCCAGGCCCCTGCCAACTTTTCTGTGTCACTCCCTCTCTGCACACACACAAGCTTTGCCACTGATGTTTTCACGGTAACATAATCGTTCTTCTAACACCTATTACAACAGCCATCTTATATTTCATCTGTTTGCAAGAACTTCTTCCTTCACTGTGTTGTTGTTGTTATTAGGTGCTGTCGAGTTAAATACAACCCATAGTGGCCCCATGAACAACAGCTCTGAACCCTATCCTACCTACCCTGTGCCATTCTCACACTTTCTCGGAGACTAGAGCCCACTGCAGAAGTCACTGAGTCAATCCACCTGGTCAAGGGTCTTCCTCTCCTTCGCCAGCCCTCTACCCTTCCCAGCATCATGTCCTTCTCCAAAGAATAGCCCCTCCTAGTAACATGACCAAAGTATGTGAGGTAAAGCCTCATCATTATTGCCTCCAAAGAGCACTCTGGCTGCATCCTCTCCAAGACATACCTGTTTGTACTCTTGGCTGTTCATGGGATATTCAGTGCTCTTCTCCAACACCACAGCTCAAAGGCATCAATTCTTCTATCATCCCTATTCATTGTCTAGCTCTCAGATGCATAGCAAATGATCAGAAAGACCATGGCCTGAATCAGACACACCTTTGTCCTCAAACTGACAACATATCTCCTCAATACTATGGAGAGGTACTTAACTGTAGACATTCCTAGTGCAATACGTCACCTGATTTCCTGACTGCTGGTACTAAGGGTGTTAATCGTGGATGCAAACAAGATGAAGTTGTCAACAGTTTCAATCTTTTCTCCATCTATCATGATGTTGCTATCTGTCCAGTATTAAGAATCTCTGTTTTCTTGACATTGAGATGCAATACATATTGAAGGCTGTATTCTTTGATCCTCTGCAACAAATGCTTCAAGTCCTCACTTTCAGCAAGCAAAGTTGTGTCATTTGCGTAACGCAGGTTATTGATGAGTCTCCCTCCGATCCTGATGCCACATTCTTCTTTATAGAGTCCAAGTTCTCGAATAATTTGCTCAGCATACAGACTGAACAAGTATGGAGAGAGAACAGAACCCTGACGCACTCCCTTCCTGACTTTAAACCATGTAGTGCTCCCTTGCTCTGTTCGCACACCAGCCTCCTGGCCTAGTATAGGTTTCATGTGAGCTCTAGGACTCCCATTCTTCCTATCGTTCACTGTGAATTCCCTAAGAATCACATCTCTGTTATTTCTGTAACTATCTGCTCTTAGTATTAAAGACAAAATAAGCTCTGGGATAAAACTGTCTGGATTCAAGTTTTAGTTTGAATAACCCACTGTGTGACCTTCAGCAAGTTATCATTTGGTCTTTTATCCCATTTTTCTCACTCACCAAGGAACACTAACACAGATTCACGGGTTGCTGTGGGATGAAGTGAGTGAGTCACTCTATGACAGCACTAGGAACAGAGCCTGACTTATGACAAGCACTTCAGAAACGTTAGTTAGCACTGCTGGTGGCATCCCACACCAGCATCCATCGCCAGCACCTAGCGGGCATGGCAATGATGGCTGCTGAATAAATGCGCTTTGTCCTCGGAAGCTGGGCTTCTGAGCCACACGGAACTCTAGCTCCACGGATCGCAAGCTGTGTGGTCCTATACAACATTCTCTCTAGGACTTTCTGACTCATCTGTACCATAATGACAGTGTCATCCGCATCTCACAGAGAGGAGAGATTGTGCAAGCGCGTATTTCCAGAACTCCTGCCATGGTGTCACAATTACAGCAGTCACTGTTTCCTCTAGAGACTGGCTCTCCCACACAGGACTTCTCTGTTTTATGCTTAGTGACTGCTCAGGCTACGTCCATACCCCCTTGCTTTCTTAACACTGTTGTGGTTGTGACCATTAGGTGCCGTCAAACTGACTCCAACTCCCAGCGAGCCTCCGAACAGCAGACCCCTGCCCTCTGCTGCACCTTCCCCACCATCTGTCATGTTTAAGTCCACTATGGTCATCACCCCATCAATCCAGCTTGAGGGTCTTCCTGACACTAGCATTTGAAAATAAAATGCAATTTATACCTCAGAGCTGTATGTATCACCTACTTAGAAGAACTTTTCTTACAAAGCTTAGATGGAAAAATGAATTATGTAACACAAAACAAAGTGAACATTAGGATCAACTGTTATCATGGCTATTACATTTTTTATAAGATAAAATAATATAAATAAGTAAAAATATGAAATCAGAAATAAAAATTAGATCTTCTTGAACAAGGTTAGGTGAAGAGCACAGGGCCCTGCCCCCCACCACGCAAGCAGACAACAGTAAGGTGAGGATAGGAGGGGACCGGCCACGGCAGTGTCTCCTCACCTTCACTCGATTTCTTGGGCACCTGGAACTTGACAAGAAGCTTCTTCAACTGTTCTCTCACCGTCGCAGCTCTGACCAGACCTTTGTAATTCAGGAAATGCTCCTGGCACCACTGAGAGTTCTTATTGTGCTGTGGAGCAAAGGGGGCAGAGGGAGCGTTAGAGAGGCACGGAATCTCTCGGCCAAGACCACACCGGGAGGGCCACCATAATGGGAAAAGATCCTCAGCTCATACGGGCGTCGCCTGCCCCATCAGCACAGGCCCGGCAGCCACACTCAACCTCTGACTGGTTTTATAGTCCCATCGTATTCCCAAACGGGCAAATTTCAACTGAGGTGGTTTTTCTGATCTTCACTCTCCAGATGTCTGGAGAACTACTAGAAAGAACCACTAACTTCCTTCTGGGTCTTAGTAAACTATCCCTCCCTGGTGGGCGTGAGGTTACCACGTTTTTTGGATTCTCCATCAGCATCACAGGACACTTTCCAGTTTGGAGATAATTTGTGTGATACTATTTATTCCTATAGTATTATCTTCCCATTACCAGTGCTTGTTGTAAGCATCCTTAAGTATGGCTGTCAAGCTTTAAATTATTGCTGGGGGAATGTGTCTCTGAAATTACACTGAAAACCTAGGGAGAAATGGCTTTATATAAGGAAATGTGATTCAAAGAGGATTTTTCCAAGTTGGTAACTACAAAGCAATGCAATTCGGACCTGCCCCATATTCCGCTTGGAGAGGAAGCTTCCAAACAAGACTATACACTGACTGCAAGTCTCCAAAAAGGTACGCATTCTTTCTGAAAAAATTCGCTATTAATTTTACGCAATTTCAAATGGCTGATGAAACTAAAATTTACTAATTCTTTTTCTAAAATATCATTTAAGAAATGTATACGAGGTCATTAAAACCTGAAATAATGCAATTATCTCCCATGCATTTCTTTTATACAAGAAACTTTTTCTTCATTTTCAAGAGTCTTATTATTACCTTTCGAGCAACTTCTACAAAGAACTCTAAGCTGTATTATTTATCTTCATGTGTCTAGACTATTATGAGCAATAATAAAGGAATATTAATTTACTAGAAGTTGAAATGGTGGCCTTAAAATCTGTTACTAGTCAAGGCAGGCTTTATGTTTTGATCATGGGAAAACTATTAAAGATATGAGGAGTCTGGGATTTGATGCTTCTAATGGGACAAGTTTTAAGCAAAGCTGAGGAATTCATATTTGGAGGCATGCAGGTTTGGTGATCTGCCTCCTGTACAGTTTCCACCAAGAGAGCTTCCTGAGTGTTCACAGAATGGGAAGATGAATCAAGGGCCCCTGACAGCTCCGAGGCACCAGGCTAGTGACCCAACAGGTGCTCCAAAGAGACGAGAAAGTTCACGTACTTTGCCTTTTATGTGTGATCTCTGAGTCAGGATCAGTGTTTTTCAATAAACACAGTAACAAAAAATGGAATTTCAATAAATTTTTGGGGAAAATGAAAAAAAAAATAAAAGGAACACTATCTATGGTTAAACATGAGGCGGCATTATGAATATGAAGGATCCACATCTGAATATTTTCTCATGGGCTGCCAGGCAGCTGATGGGAATGGCCAAGAAGCCAAGTCCCAGATTCATCACAGACAGCAAGATTACAAGTTCTTTTCGGTGTTCTTTCCTTGACAGAACGTCTTTCTGAAATTTTGCCTCCTGCCCAGCACGCCCGGTGGAGGAGGGGCCGTGAGGGAGAGCGCTGTGGAAGGCCGAGCAGTTCGTGCTATGAGTACATCACAGTCCATCACCCTGAGGGGCCTGAGGAAAAGCAGCCAACGAGCCAGAGGCTTATACTTATGATGCTTCCAGAAAGGAGGCCCACCTCCCGGCCAGAGCAGGTGCAAACCTAGTCAAGCTACAGGAAGATAAAAGGGGCTCTTTTTCTTTTTTCCCCTGTGTGAACTGCAGGCTAGGCTCCCAGGTCCCTGAAGCCGGCGGGTGTGGAGGGGCCTTAGAGCTGCGGACGAGCTTACTTTGATGAATGCTTCGTACACGTTGAGCATCGTGAGATGGTCCCCCTCCTCTACAGCAAATTTACGGTGTACTCGAATCTGGAAAAAAATAAAGCCACATTTAGAAATTGACTACTGAGGGCCCTCCATGTATCGGGGGTAGCACTGCATGGTGACAGGTTACAGAGCACAAAAAACGTGGTTCACACCATTTTAGCTCTGCCATTTCCAAAAGACCTCCAACTTGTTTCTAACCTTTCTTGACCTCAGTTTCCTTATCTATAACACTGGTGAATTACATTTCTTTATCAAGATTGCTGTGGGATTAAGATAATGTACTATAAATGCCAGGTACAGGTATTAGCTAAAATGCCTGTGTTTTTATCTCTTCCCAGCTATCCCGCTGACAGCATCTCTTCCAAAAGAATTCCTCCCATCCCCAGTAGAAGGAACACTCCAGGGCTCGGAAGGCTCCTACTTGGCACGCGGTAGGTACCCAATATCCCAAGGCTATCAATGGCCACACAATCCATTCTCAAATATTCCTTTCTGTAAGAACTTGGGAAATACTATCCGTATACATGAGTTCAAGAAGTAGACGACACTATACACATATACACATACACACACTCAAAAGTAACTCTGGTGGCCTAATGGGTAAGAAGTTCTATTGCCAAGCCAAAGGGAGGAAGTTCAAATCCATCAGCTGCTCCACGGGGCAGGAGGGGAGGGGGAGAATGGGTAATTTCATCCTGTACAGTTTACAGCCTGTTGAAAACCTGCCTGGAGGGTCAGCAATGAGTCCGTTCTTTCTTACCCATCAGCCCATAACCACCATCATCACCACACAAGTAACATGTACACTTAATACCTTCAGAATTTTCTCCTTGCAACCAAATAGGCCAGGCACCATTCTCACCGTTTGGAATACAGCAGTGAACAAGAGTGGTGGGAGGCCGACCATAATCATGCGTGGGAAGTGGGGTAGTAGGCAGTGCTGCTGTTGTTACAAACGTGCTGTTGAGTCGACCAGGGCTGACTGTAACCCTAGGAACAAGAGATCGGAGCCTGTGCACGCTCACGATCTCCAACACAGTCAAGCCCATGGTTATAGTCACTATGTCAAGGTGGAGGGTCAGAGAAAGAGAGGAAGACCTTCAGCTAGTCGGACTGATAGACTGACACGCAGTGCTAGAAGAAGGAAAGCAAAGAGCAGGGATACAAGGGAGGGAAAGAAATTGCTGGACAGATGAGAAAAGGGACATTATTTGCGAGCAGAGGCGGGAATACTTTGGGATTTGGTCAGACGACTTGACAAGGAAGATGCAGGCAATTAGTAAGAAAGTTTTCTAGTCTCCAATTCAGCCCCTCAGTGGACAAAACTGCCCCTTCAGCACCGACCTATCTCTACCAGAATAACCCACCTCGAGGAACCTTTCTGAATGAAGGTTTACACATCATATAGACTCTTCATACAGTCACTCACAGACCTTATGCTTTCTACCAGTAATTACCATTAATTAATGAGGTTCATTTATGACAAGGTCTAATCAGCCCCCTGTGTTGCTGTCTGCCTCGGGAGTCCTAATTGCAATGTTCCTTCATATTCTTCCCTGAGTTCACTCTTTTCCATCATCACTGAAGCTGGCTGCTATCGTCTTCTCAGCTCACAAAGCCCTACCCAGGGTGCTGTGCCCCAGCCACGTACCCCTGGTGTCACTAACAGCCCACCGGGACTTCTACTAGGGTACCCTAAGGGACAACTTCCCTCACAGGAAACTGGAAGTCAGTGCCACAGTGGTCACCACCCGAGCTCTGGACGACGGTAAAGCCAATTTCACCACACTCAGCTTTGCGACCATCTCTAGAAGGTTCCTGACCGTTCTGTGCCTCCACCGCTAAGTTATCGTGGTGGGATCACAAGTAGATCAAATGTTCTACACTATCCCAGGGCTTGTTGCTGTTGTTAGTTCTGCTGTCAAGCTGGGAACACTTCATAGGGGGCCCTCCAGCAGGTTATCTGAGGCTATAAATCTCACAGGAGGAGACTGCCCATCTTTCTCCGTCGGAGCAGCTGGTGGATCTAAACCACCGGTCTTTGGGTTGGCAGCCCAAGTCCTTACGCACTAGGCCACCAAGCTCCTCCTCCCAGGACTGTGAAGATAAACATGAAAGGATGCACATAAAACACACGGCGTAACGGCAGGTACAGACGTGCTGTGAGCTGTCAAGTCAAGGACGCCCCATGTTGACCCCTGTCTGCAGAGTATAGTTTGCCCCACAGGGTTTTCAAAGCTGTGATCTTTGGGAAGCAAATTGCTAGGACTCTATTCCAAGGTCCCTCTGGATGCATTAAACCCATTCTTGATTAGCAGTCAAACACATGGCCATCGGCACCAATCACAAACGCTCAGGTACACAACAACACTCCAAACGGGAGCTGCTATCGTTAGCACAGCTCAGTCTGCTGCAGCTCCTGGTGCGGGTTCAATGGGAAGGCTGGGATGAAAGAGACGGCGAGATGAGGACAGGCTGGGCGTACCGCGTGGGACTTCTGGTTCGGAGGGACCACGAAGATATTCTGGATCTGCATCATGGCCGCAATGCTGAGGATTTCCTGGGAACAGCCAAAATTGCCTATAAAACAAAGGGCATGTTCTCAAACATAACCCATGTGTCAAGAAGGAGTTTTCCAAAGGTTCTACCTAAGATCATACACTTATACAAAGTTCTACGTTTATAATACATAAACATTCTTCAAACTCCAGCTCACATACTTTGGACATTTTGCCCGAAGGGATCGGTCCTTGAACAAGGACATCATGCTTGCAAGGGTGGAAGGCTGGTGCAGGAGAGGAAGATCCTGGATGAAATGGACTGACACAGGGACTAGGGCAATGGGGCCAGGTGTGTCCGAGATGGTGAGACTGGCTCAGGATAGAGCAGGGGTCAGAGCCACTGTGCATAGTCACAGGTGACTCGATGGCACCTAACAACAACAGCCCTGACACCTGGACTGTGCTGTGTGGGTCCACATGAGTGAGAACTCGAGGGTCTGTGAGGAGCTGCTGTTCCACGCTGAGGCCTCAGGATCACTGAGGATTTCAGCTCTAAGCAAGGTGAGGTCCAACCTGGTCCTGCTGCATGGCTGCCCACTACTCTCTCACATGGGAACCCGGAATCCTGGCAGCCAGGGAAAAGGAGCAGAGAATATGGGGCTGTGTTCCTTCTGCTGCTTTTCTGCTTCTTAGTCACTGTATCTGTGACACACTCCCCAGACACACACGCCCCCAGGAGGGTTCACCTCGCCTGGGAAGTCCTAGATCAGGAAAGCACTCTGTGGATTGCTAGCTGTCAGCCCCAGGGAACCATCTGCAACAACTGACATTAGATTTCCAGAGCAATTATGCTGCCGTGGCTGCTTGCTCCCCGAGAAATGAACTCCTCCCGCTCCATACCTGGACTCCCTCTTCTCATAAGATTAAGAGGCTTTTGGGCTGTTAATAAAACAATCCTAGCTAACTTTCTCTGTGCTTAAGTCTTTCACAGGCTGCCAACTGATGTGAAGGTTAAGCCAAAAAGCAGTTTAGCATTAGCTTTCCCAGAACCGTTAAAATAAACCAATTATCAAATACTTCTTGGATAATTCTAACTTCTAAATGTAAGATCTTAGGTGATATGCCTTTCTCTCAACTCAAATCCTCTAAAAGGTCTGAGAAGTGTTTTCAAAGTCCACAGAATACAAACAAATGAAAGTGTCTGCTGAATTACTGACTGACAGTGAATCACAAGGACAGCACCGCTCCCCAAACCCAACAACTTTACAGGAACTTGTCTTCACCGCACCGAGGGGCTTGTACCTACTTCCAAGTGTGCCTGGATTTCAGAGGATGGAAATAAAACCAATGAGAGCTGCTGGTCTCCACCCACCTGATTCAAGCAGCATCTTTGCAAACATGGGGTTCAAAGGAAACTCTGCTATCCTCATGCCAAGTGGTTCGGTCAGGCGGCAGTCTTTGTCCAGACCTGCCGGGACAGCAAAACAAGGAATCAGTCAGAGGGTGTGCTATCATGTGGGAAGAAGACGGACAGGTGAGAGAAGAAAGGACAATGTACGCTAAAAAAAACCCCTAGCCCAGCTGCCACATGGATGTCCCCGGATAAAACATGACTGGAAGCATCATTAAGAGGATCAGCTGTATGGAAAGAACCTACACAGTTCCCGAACAGCTAACAGCCTCCACATGAACAGATTCAACACAGTATCACACAGGAGACAGCCGAGGAGCAAGAGACTTACCTCCCAGAGCATAGAGCAATTCCAAGGCTTGGACCATCGACTGTGCTGGGGGCGGCTGTTAAAACCAAATAAACAAGAGCATCGTCATCTTAAGCTCATTTCTTCCAGAAAATCTACATAAAAGCAATGTCATTTCCTGCACAGGTTCACTCTTCCCTCCAGCGCCGCACCTATTTCCCAGCCTCGGAGCTGGATGTTCACGTTCTGTTCATGCTGTCAGAGCCCTTTCCCATCCCTTCCCCTTCGCCTCAGTATTCTTCATATTACTTGGTTTTTCAGGCTCAGATGGATTAAGTAGATCTTTTTCTCAAAAGTGATGGTCCCTACCTCCTCGTTTTCCCTAAATTCTCCTCAAACATCTCTGATATTCACTTCATCTCCTCAATCTTCTCTAGAGAACCCACAGCACTGTGGTCCTTGGGCATGATTCACCTCTGCATCAGCACCAGCCAGCTCCAGGTCTTGCCCACCAGTATTTAACTCATATGTTCAATGGGATTTTCTGAAAATAATAAAGGATGCTGGACAACCTGAAGTTAAACCAGGCCGATCCTGTGACTTAATTCTTGCCTCCTTTGCTCCTTTCACAAATCTTCACAACAACAACAACAGTAAATTCCAGCATGCCACTATTTTAGCCCAATTTCACAGATGAAAAAAGGGAACAGCAGTTAAGTTAAAAGCATTTGAACAAGATCACATAGGGAGATGGGCGAAGACAGAGACAGAACTCAGGTCTGCATCATCTTCCCACCATACACAGCCCACTGATCATTAAGGGGCAAAATCAAACTATTAAAAATTGTAACGATGGTTCAGGGTCGTTATGAGTCAGAATGAGCATGACGGCAGTGGATGTTAGCGGCTGTATTCACATGAGCACACATGTGTGAGCATAACAAGTGCATCTAATCATTACTGACTACAGCACGTAACTGCCACACCAGCCTTTCAGTGACTGTGGCATCTCTGCTCATCAGAAGACCTAGCACACAATGACTACACACAGGGGGCTGAGAGCTCTGGGGAACCTCTGACACTGAGAAGACATGTGATAACAGGAAACAGCAAAGCACTGGATTATAAAACGACCAACATTCTCTTTGATTCCTCTCAATCTCTGCTCCTGTTCCAGATCAGTCACCACTCACTCACGTGTCGTCACTGAGCTGGAACGGACTCCCAGGGGACTCTCTGGTACGTTTACAGAGGCTGCAAATCACACAGGAGTAGACTGTCCGGCCGAGCAACAGGGAGATTCAAACCACCTGCCTTTGGGTTGGCTGGCAGAGCAGCCCCTTTTCCATTAGGCCCCAAAGGCTCCCTGGTCAATCACCAAGCCCTGTGAATTCTGTTGACTCTGTTCTGTTCTTTAAAATAATCATCAATAAAAAATATTTGGAGGAAAAAGAAATCACATCTACAATACTTTCATGTAAACATACATTTACTGTATTTCTCTATGACTTCATCTGATTTGAGACCACAAGGGAACACAATTTTAACATGGCTGAATTACTGTGCCTATATAATTTTTCTTTTTCTCGTGGCAGGTTTCGCGCTGTTTCTTATACCCCCAGGAAAATCACAGTGATCATTTGAGACAGTTGTATAATTTTCCATCAAGGTCCTATTCTATAAAACAAGTCATGTTCGTATTATCGGGCAACCTGGTAATTGTCAATTCTTCATTATTATAAAGTAATGCTGATAAATACACAAAGTAAATGTACCAAATAATTTCAATTATAAAAACCAAAACTCTAAGTGAACTAAGTCAGGATCATAAAGACAAATGTTGCATAAGACCATTACTGTAAAACCAGCAGGATAACGAGTAAGATGTGTATAAATGTCCAAAGAGGGAAGAGGAGAGGGCAAGGGGACTGAGGGTGAGAAGGTGGAAATCATGGGGTCACACAATTACATGGGTGTAGGGAGGGGGTGAAGGAACTAGGAAAGATCCAGTGGGGATCTGAAAAAATGGGGTAATAGTGGGCACAGAGCAATGGTGATTACCTTATAAGATTCAATGTATAGGAATAATCATATGAAATAATGTGAAGGGCAAAAAAAACCCCAAAATAAAGTTGGTTTAAAAATAAACACAAACCCTGTAAATAAATAAATAGAAGGAAATGGATGAAGACGACTTTTATGTCACTTTTCAACCAGACAGAAGTCTTATTATGACAAACCCTGTAAATAAATAAATAGAAGGAAATGGATGGAGGAGACTTTTATGTCACTTTTCAACCAGACAGAAGTCTTATTATGACTTCCACTGCCTACCACTTTTCATTTCATATAAAGCAATGTGACAAACACTATCCTAAGTTTTCCTTCTTTGGGATTATCTCTTCAGGAGAAATTTCCACAGGTAGAGATGCCAGGCATTAATTATGGTCAAGAAAACCACAGTCTTTCCCCCGGGAAGACAGAAGCTGAGCACAAACCCAACAGAAAAACGTGGGCACGTTAGCCTCCCAAACTGTGTCGGCTCTGGATTTTATCATTTTTCTTTATGTTTGATCATTTAATCCATGTAAAGTGGCTCTTTCAATTTGCATTCCTTACTCTCCCAAAGAAGCTGACAAGTTTTAATGGCAGTTGACTGCTTGGGCTATTTCCTCTTCCTTACTGGATACTGGAGTTACTCTAAATGGTGCTTGAAAACGTCCTACATCTTTGAAGATGTGAATCTGTCATTTTTTTCCTTTCTGTGTTCCTTTTACCTTTGATGGAGTGTTTTCGTGTTCTTTTTAATTGGCATATTCTGTCCATCTTTCTTTACAATCTCTCGTACTATATACGTCAACATGTCAAAGAGTACAATTCATTTTCTTCAGACTTATGATAAGCACACAATTATTTTCCTCCTTTTTCTTTTCATTTTGTGGGGAGCAGAGGTAGTGCTTTTATACTTTATTCACCCAGTTTATTATGATATATGACAATAGGGACAGTACTGGCCAAAAATCCAAAATTCTTACATCACACACAAATATAGTTAGGCAGATCAAAGAGTTAAACTGGTCTTCAGATGATAAAAATTCAAAAAGAAAATACGGTGACTATGTATTAACTGTCCGAGATATAGGGAAGGGCTTCACAGCACAAGGATGACAGATTAAGGCAAAGAGGCTAAGAAAGAAAGCTTTTACAGTGGAATAGTTTAGAACATCTATTAAAAACAAAAGAAAGAGTGTAAAATGCAAACAACTAAATAAAATATTTCAAGAAAGAGCACAGATAAATCTTTAACATTTAAGCAATGCTGGGAAATAATACTCACTCACCCTAATAAACAAATGGCTTAAAAATTTAGGAAAAATACAACGATTTCTTGAATTCTTAACATTAATGTTTAAGCATAAATTAAAGAATTCTCTTTATTGCTCGCTCATCAATCAAGTTTGTACACCAAGCACAAAGGGGACACAGGAGTTAGGTATTCCCACTGCTGGAGGTAACATCGGTAAAGCAATCTGCCCTATAGCCCTGTGACTCTATCATTTCACCTCTAGAAACCTGTCAAAACACAACCAGACACTGGGTCCTTCCTGCAGCTACAGCAAACCCCTCTTGACCACATCCACTACCACGGCACCTCCACCTCTCTGACCTGGTGAAATTCTACTTGAGTTCAAAGTTTCACGTAAGACATGAGCAGGGTCCTACCTCTGCTCTCCCAATACCTGGAAACATCTCGCAGGGCAATGGGCTTCTGCACTCACCAATTACTGAGCTCTATCTTCCAGCCAATAAAAATTGGGTAAAACAATGAGATACCACCTCATCCTAGTAGCAGTAGCAAAGTTTAACAGGACAGCAAGCAATAAATGTTAGAGAGGATGTGGAGAGACTGGAACCCTCATGCAGTGCCATTAGGAATATAAAATGGTATAAACATTCTGGAGGGAATCTGGTGTTTCCTCAAAAGGATGAATATAGAAATCCCAAATGACTCAGCTACTCTACTACTAGGAATATATACCCCAAGGTAACCATAACTGAGATTTGAACAGAGAAATGTACACCAATGTTCACAGCAGCAGTAGTCACAATGGCAAGAAAATGGACCACAGCCCAAATGCCCATCAACAAATGAAGGAATTGAGAAACTGAGGTACATTCATACAATGGAATACTATGCAGCACTAAGAAACAATAATTTCATAAAATACTATATAATATGGGAGAGTCTAGATAACATTATGCTGAGTGAACTAACTCAGTCTCACAAGAAAAATACTGCATGTTGTTTTTGTTGTTAAGTGCTGCTGAGTCAGGTATGACTCATAGTGACCCTATGAATAAAAGATTTTAACCCTGTTCTATAACTCTTGTAGTTTTTCTAAGTTCATAGTGTTTCCAGAGTCATATTACATAGGAAGTGGATGCCAATCTTGCTTCTGAGCCTGTCTTAATATGGGAGCTCCACCAAACACTGCCCATTTGGGTAACCATTGACAGCATCTGACACACCTACAGCACTGCATTCACATCAATCCTAAATTACCTCTGTACAGCAAACTGACAGACCAGTGCTGAGTGAAAGAATTCCATCTCATAAGGACAAATACTGCATAAGAATATCATTAACTGAGCAAGATGTGTTCAGAGAAGGAAAAGAAAAAGAAGAAGGGAACAGGAGAAGGAGGGAAATCACTAGGAAGGCATAAATCAGTGTGAGTGTGAGTGGTGAAGGAACAACAGATTTTATGGGGACTTGAAAAGATGGGTGATAATAAGCATAGATGAATAGTAATTAATTATATAAAACATAGTGTAGACGAATAATTGTATAAAACACAACACATACAAACAAAACACAACGTAAATGAAAAAAAAAAAAAGAAATTATAAAACACAATGTACATGAATGGAACACAATGTATATGAATGATTGTATGCAAATAACCAAAATATGGGGGATAAAAATAAAAACAAAAGTATGCCTAATATTAAAAAAGGAAAAAAAAAGAAAAGGGGCTCAGACAGAACAGGAGATGCACCTGCCTTGTCTGGCTGTATTACCTGCACCAGGCCTGCCACGAAGGAGCCACACAACATAAGATTAAAAAGAAATAAAAACGAAGAGTACCTCACTCTGTAAACAATACGCTGGCAGCACCCATACCCACCCCCAGCGCTCCAGCCCCCCAGTGCCCTGCACAGAAGGCAGGACTCACCGACATGAAGTGGAACCTGAGGACGTTGTCAATTCCCAGCGCCTTCAGCTGCAGGATGACAGGCGCCAGGTTGCTGCGCTGCATCTCGGGAACGGTGGACTGAGGCAACTTGTCAAAGGCTTCCTCTGAGGAGAGGAAACGAGAACTGCTGGAGACACCAATGCCACAATCAAATGCCATCATTAAGCCAAAGGGACGGTTCTTCTTCTCTAACTTGAACAACATGATCAACAATTTGGCTACAAAGCAGATGACTATGATGTCATCATAGAATGCTTTCTGTATTGAGAGAAGATCACTCTGCTTTTTAAAAGTAGTTTTTGCTCCATAAATTTTAACTCAAATCATAAAAAGAAAATAACAATAACTTTTTAACTTATGAAAAAGAAATTATTTTATTTCTCCCTCCTTCCCTCCTCAGTTTTAGAACAAATTAAAAAGTTAGTCTCCTAGTCTTTGATACACTGGATTAGTTCAAAAGCTTAAATTAGTTTAATACAGGACTTCAGTTTTATCTAGGTCATCTAAAGCTTTCTGTTTCGGTTCCTTTTAGCCTACAGAACTTGATTTCTAGTATTTTATGGTAGGAAATAGTAAAGCACTGTGCTGAATTTATAAAAACCAAAACTCTTTGCATTTATATAGTTGCATTAAAAGTTTAGGGGGGAAAACTGTTTAACCTTAAAAATAAAAATCCATTTATTTAGAGAAAAACATTTAAATATACGTTAATGAAGAACTGTCCTCTTGCTTTAGAATGCAATATTGAAAAAGTTTTCATATTTACCAAAAAAGGGTAAATCAATTTTATCAAGTATTTTTACACAATTATGTTGTTATTATTATGTGCTTTTTTCCCCCAAAATGTACTCTCCTCCCATGAGGAATTTTCATAAATATACAAACTATGCCAATGTTTTTAAATGTTGCTGAACCTAGAATACAACAAATAATCAAATCCTAGAAGCAGCTGAAATTGTCCCAATCCAACCTTTCAAAAAACTACTGAACCAGGAAGACAAGGTCACACTTGGAATCCAAAGCTGCCACAAAGAGATTCATGACTGATCACATGCCTCATCAGGAACAAAAAGTGACCTCAAATAAAAAAGCAACACAAAAATCCCAAGATGGACAGGGCAAGAAATAAATGAGGGAGGAGAAAGGGTAAGAGACTTTGGGAGGCCTTTTTACAATAGCTAGATAAAAAAAAATGTGGGGAAATGAAAGAGGACAGTATCAAATAATTTTTCTATAAATTCAGCAAGCTGTATACATTTTAAAGACACTGCTCCACCCACAAAATTCTCCCTCATCAATATTTTGATCAGTGACTTTGTAGAACCCTCCTAATCAAAAGAGGGGGGGAATGTACAACAGAATTTCAAATTATGAAAGAACTCAGACATTTTTAGAGACATAAAGGATGGATTAATCCATAAAACTATTGCCCTGAGATAATCTTTAAACCTTAAGCCAAAAATATCCCCTGATGTTTTCTTAAAACCAAAAAATAGTTTAATGTTAACTATTCTCTGCCACATGAAGAATACTCTACTAAAGATCTACTGATGTGGGATCAAACTGACAACAGCAAAACAAAAGGTTAGACAGCAAACTTAAGGGATGAAAATTGATGTTAATGAAGAAAGAACAATTGAAAAAAGAAGAATGAAAATAGCTGCACAACTTGAACATAATGTCACCGAACTAGACACGTAGAAGGTTTTTAACTGGGCATGTGTTTGCTATACATGTTGTTGTTGTTGTCGTTGTATGGCATTAAGTCAGAACTGACTCATAGCTAATTCTCCAGTGGGTCTTCATAGGCTATAAATCATACAGGAAAAGACTGTCCATCCTTCTCCCTCAAAGAAGCTTGTGGATTCAAACTGTTTGCCTTTGGGTTGGCAGACTACATCCTAACCCTCTAGGCCTCTACAAACTCAAGAAAAAAAATTTTTAAATAACCTTGAAAGTTAAGTTTGAACAACTGGGAAAAACTTTGGCACCATCCCTCACACAAAGAAAGCGCAGAGAAAGAGCAGCTCTGGTCCATCAGTCGCTGTTGGTAAGTCTGCCTTCAAGGCGGAAAGAAAGCTCACACAGGGCTGGGACATTCTTTATCCTGACTGTATTTTCTTCCCTCAGAGCACAGCATGGTTTATGGCACAAAGCAATTTACCATTTGGTTCCTACAAACGAGTCTTAGGATAGATCTTACTGTTTTAGCTGTGCATGACACTCAAAATCAAAGGTGAATTGAAACACAACATGAGGACATAAAGCTAAGGAAAAAAGATGGCCAGAACCAGAGACAAAGGCCCACGTCACAGGCTCACATGATACAGAGGGGCCAGGGCCAGACCAAAGGCAGAAGAGTATTGATGGTGACCCCTGACCAGCCTTGTCCTGTGGGAGCAGCAGTAGACGTGCTATGTATAGAGAGGGAACCAGATTGCAGAGGGCCTAAAAACAGGGTTCTTCTCATTCTCACTATCTGCAATATTCTCCAATGTATTGCCATTTAGCAGGAAGGGACCTGTAGCTGGTCTCTGGAGCCTGTAAACACACAGGAGGGGACTGCCAGGCCTTTTCCCTCAGAGCCTCTGAGGGATTCAAACTCTGGTGGCTTCCCAGAAGGGCATGACATTCGGGTTAGTAATGCAACCCCCTACAAAGTGGACCACCAGGGGTCCCTATTCTCCAATGCAGAGGGCCTTAAAAAGAAGAGCGTTCTTCCTAAAAAGTTCTCCCCATTAAAGAGCAGTATCTGCAATACGGTCCAATGTCCACATTAACTACGAGAAAGTCAAAAAGCCTCAGGAAAGCCTCACTGACCTGTATAGAGTCGGTAACACTTGCCGGAGCGGTTCCGACCGCCACGCCCCGCTCGCTGGTTGGCAGAGGCCTGGGACACGGGGACCACCACCAAGCACTCAATAGCAGTCCTGGGGTTGTAGGCGCGGAGCTTCACGAAGCCACAGTCGATGACGTACACGATCCCGCTGATTGTGATGGAGGTTTCTGCCACGTTGGTAGCCACTATTACCTAAGTCCCCGCCAAAGGAGAGAGGGGATGAAAGTCACTCGATTCTTTGCACTTTCAATGAGCCACTAAAAATCTCAAAAGTCTAAAAGTATTATATTTTAGGGCATCATTTTTATCGTAGGAATACGCAATGAGGGTTGCAGAGTGGATTATATTTGGGGGTAGGGGGTAGGGTTTGGGGAGGTGCAGGGGGATTTGTATACCAATGAGGGAGTTTTTCTTTTGCTTTTCAAGGAGAGGAGCAAATGGGGGGTGGGGGGAGGGGTTTGTGCGGGGAGAAGGGTGCAACAATGAATGAATGGAATTCCAAAATCTCTGTAGATGTTCACTGAAATGAAAAATAAACAAACTAAATAAAAAAAAATTTTTTAAAAAAAACCCCAAACATTGATACTCTTATAATCGTATGAGCTCTGTGGAACATTCCTCTGTGTCTGATTTTTCTCTCTCAGCAACTGATAGAATATTGACTGATAAAGTATAAGCTAATAAAGCCTCACACATCTAAATAAAAAAATCTCAAAAGTCTCAAAAAATATTTGCAATATAGTAAGAACTGAGAGAAGCAACTTCTCTCTGCGAAGAAATGTTTCTTTTCTGCAAAGAGCAAGAGTTTTAGACTCTGGGTACCTGAGCTTGACTCATGCGTGGCCTCAGAGTATCCATTTCCTCATACATGAAATACACACACCCCACCCCCAGGACTGCTTAAAGGGAAGAAATAAGGATAAAATGAGGAAAGCTTGATATTTAGCACATGATCAATATTCAACAAATGCTAACTGTTCCAAGATAGCTCAGTGACACAGAGGACAATTAGGCAGGTGGAAAATAAGCAAATCAAAGTTACCAGCTCTGATAATTACTGTCAGGGTGGGCCTTCGGTGGAGCAGGTTTCTAAATCTTTACAATTCATCTGTTCACTTTGCACTGTTAAGATCTGCTCACGGAAACATGGCCTGAAAACTTACCTTCCCATTTAGCAAACTTTATTATAAAAAAATTAGCAAAAGAAGGGTGAAAAAAAATGTTGGCTGCTGCCTGGCCTCCATTACTGAGTTTTTAAACATGCATTCTACAGAAGAAACCTAGTTAAATGGGTTTAGGGGATAGAAAATAGCATTTCAAATTCTCATGGAATCTAGATTTTTCTGGAGCCACTGAGGTTGGATAAGCCATTGAAACTACTGTCCCCAGATAATCTCTATTCCTTAAACCAAAAATATCCCCTGAAATCTTCTTAAACCAGCTTCCTTCCTTCATAGCCATGGACAGGCAACTGACTCATAGCGGATGCTCCAGCGGGTTTTCAGAGGCTGTAAATCACATGGGAAGAGACTGCCCGTTTTTCTCCTGCAGAGCAGCTGGTAGATTCGAATCGACTGCCTTTGTGGTGGCAGTTCCTCTTTATACCCACGAGGCCACCAGAGCTCCCTGCACAGTATAAGCTTACATACTAAGGAATCCCTGCCTCAAGCATTACAATCCTTTAAGATCTGGCCATGTGGGAGCAAAGTGATGACAGCCATTTGAAAGAACAGACAGGAAGATCAGGAGACAGTGAGTTTATGTTAAAGGAGGAGGAACAATTTGGAAAAGGACAGTGAGAATGTTTGCATAACTTAAAGAATGCAACCAACACCACCGAACTGGACTTGGAGCAATGAAAGAGTGCAAGCTCTGTTGTGTCCTGTTTTTTAAAAACACTTTCCAGTGAGCAGCTAAGGGGTAACAACAGGATTCCAGGGAGCCGCAACACCATGGGTCATGAGGACCCTCTCACCTTCCTGACGGTGCGGGGGACTCGTTCAAACACTTTCATTTGTTCAAAGGCAGGCAGTCCTGCGTACATGGGCAGAACCCGCAGGTGTCTCTTCATCCCAGTGCGAGCCAGGGCACGGGCCTGCTCGACCAGCATGGAGACCACGGTCTCCACCTCCTCCTAGAGACATGGAACCAGGAAGCAAAGAAATGGGCATCAATTCAGAGCAATCACCTATCATACTGAAAGAAAAATGGGAGCTGGGTTCAAGATTTGAAGTCGGGTCAGCTTCGTGTATTTCAATGCACTCACAGGCCATGTTGGGGAGGTATTTAATCATAAACTAACAAATGATGGTGCCCATACGGTGAATATTTACAACTGTACCATGAATTACAGAAATACTAACCGCAGAGAGTGGGAAAGCTCCTGATAGAAAAAGCAACGGCTATTTCATGTAGTGTTTATGAGAGGTGGCAAGAAAAGCATTTCATGTATGAGGACAAGCTGTGGCATATAAAATCATGTCCGCTTTCCCCAGGAAAGATTACTGAACTTCGGAAAACGTGTGACAGTGGAAAAGATTACAGCAGAGGGTGGTTCCACACAGTGAGTGCGACAAACCCAAGGGAGCACGTGGGCAGTGCCCCTTGAGATGGTTTTCCAGTAATGTGGGCACTTCCCACCTCCAGGGTGAGCTCCCAGTAAAAGAGTTACTGGGAAAGGAGGCATGAGGCAACAAGAAGCATGCTTCAAGAGGTGCCAAATGCAATTTTGCCCAACAAGACCCGTCTGTTGGCTGACTTATCTAATTTATTTTGGAAACCACTGATGAATTTAAAGTACAACGCACCCTATTGCAGACAGAACCAGCAGGAGCTAATGATTTCCTGATAATCTAATCAGTAGATAAATGACATCAACCCCCCAAACATTCAGGGAATTACATAACCACAGAAGATAACAAAACAAGAAATGACTACGTAAACAAGAGAACTTCCTGCTAATGTTGGCCTCACATCCACAGGTCTCCTCCCAACAGAGAAGAGGTCCACGGGCATTACCTGGCCAGTGAGAAATGCTAATATGTCTCCATCGCCCTCGGTCTGATGAATTTTCACCACTGTTTCCACAGTTGATTTGATATAATCTGGAACAGGACTGGAAGAGTACAGGATAAATCTATCATCCTGATATGCTCATTATTATAGATCAATTACCCTGATAATCTGGCAGCAAAAAGCCTCATGAAATTTCGTTTGAGCCTGCCCAGCGGTAATTAGTACATAAATGAATCTGAGAAATAATTACCTTTTCTCTCTTTTTTTTTTTAAATGCAGCATTCAATCATAATCCGTAATTATATGTAAAATACGAATTTTGTTGCTTTATTTACAAAAAGGAAATATGTCCATATAAACAGACATTCTATCATTTGTTTGCAAAGATCCCTGGCCACTGAATGCCAGGGCAGTGGCCCCAGCACTGAACCTCACTCTCTCTTGGGCCCATTCTCCCTCCTGACCACTGGCAGCGTGGGTGCAGTTGACTGGCGCCCTCTCCAGGTAGGATGACCCAGAAGTCAAGCCCACTAGCCTCTCGCTATACCAGCCACTGGACCAGGCTCCTGGCCTCTGACTGATCACACAGTAGATAGGCGCAGTTATTAGGATGGCTCCTTTCCTATACAAATAGGAATCTCTGGATGGAGTAAATGGTTACACACTGGGATGCTAATGAAAAGTCTAGGTGTTCAAATCCACCCACAGGTACTTTGGAAGAAAATAAACTTCCAAAAGGTCTCAGCTATGAAAATTCTTAGAATTCTTTCTACTCTGACACACTGGTTGGAACTGCTAGCAACTGGTTTAATTTTATTTTTTTCTGTCTATGGGGTGGGGGCTGGGGGTATACAGGTGTCCCAAAAAAGGAGAGGACCAGGTCTTCCTGCTGAGGATGTAGAGAATCTAATTCCGATCCACTCGTCCCGAAAAGGATCAAGCTTTGCCAGCATGTTCTCTCTCCATCTGAGCTACTGACCACTGATTGATGGAAGTGTTCACAGTAAGTGTCTAGAGTTTAAACGTAATCAGTGGTGATGCTGAACAGGGTTCTAGAAGATGCTATTGTGGAAGCATGCTGCTTATCTCAAGCCCGGCCAGGAACGTTTAGTGCTGCGATTCTCCATCCTTCCCTGTGACAGGCCCAGCCTCCAAGCACCCGCGGTAGGAATTCATGGATCATCAAACCTTTGCAGATAAAAGACATCCACTGGGAAGGTCCGCCCTTCCACTGTCAGAATCACACATGTATCCCGGGTCGGATCACTGGTTTCATTTTGATTAAAGAAATCTCGAAATTTCTAAAATTAAAAAAAAAAAAGAACACATCAAAAATGTTTTATTCCCCTTTGGTGGTGGTGGAAAGAACGGTTCACAGTCATTTCATTCAAAAAAAGAAATCATAAAATTGACAGAGTGAAGGCAGAAGTGGGAAACGCGATGTGTAAAAGACTGTGGGTTGCACAAGCATAAAAACCAAATTCTTATTTTTCTTACTGCAATTTTGAGGAATCATATTACAAAGACAGACTCTTTATTGAAGGTTTGATATAAATAATAAGACAAGATGTCAAAACTACATTAAGTATGCATCTGAGTTAACATGAGGCTCAAAACACTCAACGTCATGGAGTCACAATCAACTCACAGCTGACCCTCCAGCAAGTTTCCCGAGGCTATAAGCACCAAGGTACAAGACTGCCCATCTCTCTTGAGCAGAGCAACTGGTGGATTTGAACCACCTGCCTTTGTATTGGCAGTGCAACTCCCTATCAACTAGGCCACCAGAGCTCCCTAACATGCGGCTGCAGTATTAATTCTCTTATTCCTGTCCCCTGTATTTATTTCACTTAAACGAAAATTAGGTCAAAAGGTGTAATTAGGGTTAAGCACGAATCAAATCAGATTGATACATAGCTCAAATTAAGAAAGCACAGGTCTGATCACACAAGATAATCAATTTAAAAGAACTTTGACTTCTGTGAATTCCTTAAGGGAATCTCGCTGTATAGAGAAAGAAGCTGAGTATAATGTGTCTTTTGGGGCCAGAAATTCTTGCTCAAGATGAGAATGAGACTAAGATACAGCAGCAACAGAGAGGAACAGAGAACCAGACCTCAGTGTGGGACAGTGCTGAGTGGAGTCAGAGCTTGAACGCCTTCACCTAGGCTGGCCAAGAGATAGGGTGGAGGTGAGGGGCAGAGAACCAGACCTCAGTGTGGGACAGCGCTGGGGAGTCAGAGCTGAACGCTTTCACCTAGGCTGGCCGGGGGCAGGGTGGAGTGAGGGGCAGAGAACCAGACCTCAGTGTGGGACAGCGCTGGGGAGTCAGAGCTGAACGCTTTCACGTAGGCTGGCCGGGGGCGGGGTGGAGTGAGAGGCAGAGGGCAGTGGAGAAGGCCCGAGAAAGCAGCTGCCCTGACTGAAGAACTGCAGCCAAGGGCTTCTGAGCTGAACTGCAATGTGTTGCTTCCCTAATAATCCACATAATTAGAAGCGGGGATGGGGAGGAGATAAACTTTACTTCTGTGAATTCTTTAATAGGAATGCATTTCTAGCACCAAAATTAAAAATCTGCATTTATTTGTTTACTATAACCTTCACAGTAGATCTGTTTTCAGCTCCTTCACCTTGAGAAACGCTGAGCGAGTTGTTCCCTTTTTACTCTCCAGCACTAGATCTCTGCACAGGGTCTAGTAGTTTGCTTTGCCTTCCCGAGCTGCCCTTTGAAACCTCCTGTTGAGCTCTAGGACTTCAGCATCTCTTCCCTTTGTTTTGGCATCTCAATGCTTCAGTCCAATTTTCAGGGTCTCTTCTGACACCCATTAAGGTCTTTTCTTTCTCCTGTCTTTGTAGTGACTATAAAGGGAGCTGATGGGACGCGGGGCCAGCCAAGTCTGACCTCTCCCTGCTTCATAAAGGGGAACTATCTCCATCAATAATACCCATAGCAGCAAATAGATAGCTGCTTGGTCTGACATGCCACATGTTCCTGCACCTCTTTCTCCCAATCATTGGGTTCGATGTGCATTACTGACTCACAAACTTTACTCACAGTGGTGGTACCAAGAGGGGGGTTTATTAGGTAAATGGGTTGGGGTATAGGGGAGGCAAAGATTATCACCCAATGCAAATCCAGGTTTAGTCCAGCAGTCTCAGGCCAGATTAACAGTAAAACACAATTCCTCAATCAGTGAACGTCCTGGTTTCAGTTCAGTGGCACATTCAAGAACCCTCTGGTTTCCTTAATCATCCAGCAAGGTTTGCCTCAAAGCAGTTATAAGTAATTTTTCTTCCAATCATCCAGAAAGCAAAACTTTTAATGGAGGCCTTTATCTCAGGGCACATCTGGTTACACCTTGCCACAGTCTCTTCACACCAGTGCCACAGTCTCTTTTCTCTCCAGTACCACCATCACCAGGTCTCACTCTGCAGTGTGGAAAGCACTCTCTCTCTTATATTTAGTCCCACAGCTGCTGAAGATTTTTGCATGACTGTAGTTGGAGATCACTGGAGGCTAACGTAAAGGCTAAAAAGGCCAGCTTTTAAACTAACACCACAATGACCTTTTGCTTTCTTAATGGATGATGTCCTAATCTCTTCCTACAACTCATATGGTCTTTAATCACTGTTACTCAATGCTTTAATCTTATTCTTAATATGATTATTAATGGAGTAACAATGTCATTTTGAGGACTAAGGTGTGCCTGATACAGGCCATGGTCTTTTCATTCACTTGCTAGCACCTGAGAGCTGGACAATGACTAAAGATGACAGAAAAAGAACTGATGTCTTTGAACTATGGTATTAGAGACATGTGTTGAAGATCCCACTGACTGCCAAAAGAACAAAAAGATATGTTGGAGAATGGACAGCCAGAATGCTCCTTAAGGCTAAGATGATGAAGCTTCATCTTACATACTTTGGGCATTTTGCTAGGTGAGGTTATTCCTTGCAAAGGGGACATCATACCTGGAAAGGTCAAGGGATGGCAAAAGAGAGGAAGACCCTCAACCAGGTGGGTTGACTTGGTGACTAGGGCAGTGGGCTTCAGTGTGTCAGAGACTGTGAGGATGGTACGGTATAAAACAGTGTTCAGATCTGTTGTTCACAGGGTTGCTACGAGCAGTACTCAACTCGATGGCACCTAACTACAACAGCAACAGTTAATCTGAGGGCATTCAATAGCAGGGCTGGTGTCTTCCCCATCTGTACACGCCCACAGGAGGTGGCAGTGTGCTCTATGATTCTGTTGTTAGTTGTTGTTATGTCCCATTGATGCAGAACTGACCCACAGCTGACCCTCCAGCAGGTTTTCATGGGCAGTAAATCACACAGGAGATGACTGCCCATCTTTCTTCGGTGGAGCAGCTGGCGGATTCAAACAGTACACCTTTGAGTTGGTAGCACAACTCCTCACCACTCTGGAGTTTTTATAGGCCATCAGTTAGATACTTCCCTGAGCCTCCCACAGTAGTCTTCTGAGAGGACTGGCTCTTGGCAGTTCCTCCCAAACAGGTGGCCACCGTTTATACAATGGCACCTGGCCACTAGACCTGAAAGCTATAAAAAAGCCTAGCACAAGCTGTGGCCAATGATGGGGGAAGGGGAGAGTCAATCAAATATCTTCTTTTGGGGAATGGAAGCCCAAAATACAAGACAGCAGGGCAAAGGTCTGCAGGTGCTGGAGCAGAAACTGAAGCCAAAAACAGCTGGGTGGGTGAACACATTGGCAGAAGAGCCCTGACTGGAAAGTTGCTGAGGGTGCAATAGACAACCTCTCTGGCAGAATATTCCATTATTTGGTTTTTAATAGTATTCCCATTCTCCAACTCTATTCCACTTTCCCTGAGGCCTCACTGGGTCTGACTTTCTGTTCTCGTTAGGCCTGGCTATGTAATCTCATGTATTATCTTCCCTATCTATATCATGAATCTTTACAAAAGCAGCTCCAGTGACTCAGGGGTAATGAGTTGTAATGCCAACCTAAAGGCTGGCCATTCAAATGCAACAGCTGCTCCTCAGAAGAAAGATAAGAAAGATGGGTAATCACCTCCTGTGTGGTTTACAGTCTCTGAAAACCTGCTAGAGGGTCAGCTATGAGTCAGTTCCCATTCGAGACTGCATAACATCTTTACAAAATCTGTCTATCTCAGATTCTTAAACCCAAAGGGCACTGGTGAACTGCATCAAATACAAAGTGAAACAGAGGAATACTTCTAAAAGAGTAAAGTGGATTTAATTAAAATACTAGTATGCTATATATTAACTTCAAAGTTGTATAAGACTAAAAACAGACATAAAAATGCCAAGAAAGAATTAAGCTGTGCTGTGTAGAATTCCAAGCACCAATCTTCACTGCCTTTCTTCAGGGCAAATTCACAGGAAGCCACTTTAATGTGTCCCTGTGATGTGCACAGAACACACAGGTCCCACAGAAAGGATGAGCAAGCATGCCCCAAAGCAGCAAATAACCCAGGGGCAGAGAGATGTGCAAAGAACCAATTATAAAGCAAACCACCGCTCAATGGCCTACACAGGACTGACAATTACAATCTGAGAGAGTGAAAAAGATTAATAATTACTGGCTGGAGGAAAGGCTTCATGAAGGTGACACCACCCCTGGACTGAGCCTTAGAGGGTGAAAAGAAGGTGAGAACTGACTGGAAGCCGAAGGGCCATCCCTGTCGCAGGATGAGAGCAGAGAAGGGGCTGAGATGTGGAAGGGCTCCAGGCTGATGAGAGCCCTAGGTCTCAGGCTGGCTGGCCTCGCTTCTGCATGTTGTCTCTTATCAAACAGAGACACACCGCTAACCCCACTGCAAGACTGCTGGGATCTGTGTGTGTGAGAGAGAGAGAGGGAGAAAGGGGCACAGATGTGTATAAAATGGGATCCAGTGAGTGGCCATAGCTCACACTTAGCAGGGGTCTGAACTCCACGTTCCACAGGCGTGATGCTAACAGAGCTGTGCCTCACTCTGCTGGATGTTTTGGAGATGGGCAGTGGAGATAAGAGATTAGAAACAAGCACACTAATTAAGGAAGGTGTTCTACTGCAATGATTCACAGGTAAACTCAGGCAGGGGCAGAGTTAACGCAAACTGGTTCAGAGGTAAAACTGACAGGACCAGGCCATTAGTAAATGTGCACACACACACACACACACACACGAGGGGTGAGGAGCAGGAAGGAATGACTTCTTACTCAATCAGGACTAAAATAAGTCCCTAAAGCAATGGAGGAGGCCGGGAGGCTGAGTGCCTAACAAGAAGGGACTGAAACGAGAAGCTGCTCAGTCACG